TTTCCATTGGTTGATTGTTCTCACTGTCAGAAAGTTCTTCCTTATTTCTAGGTTGAATCTCTCCTTGGTCAGTTTCCATCCATTATTCCTTGTCTGGCCTTCAGGTGCTTTGGAAAACAGCTTGACCCCCTCCTCTCTGTGGCAGCCCCTCAAGTATTGGAAGATGGCTATCATGTCTCCCCTGGTCCTTCTCTTCACTAGACTAACCATGCCCAGTTCCTGCAACCATTCTTCATGTGTTTTAGCCTCCAGTCCCCTAATCATCCTGGTTGCTCTCCTCTGCACTTTTTCTAGAGTCTCAACATCTTTTTTATAATGTGGTGACCAAAACTGGATGCAGTACTCTAGGTGTGGTCTTACTAGGGCTTTATAGAGTGGTATTAGTACCTCACTTGATCTTCATTGTATCCCTCTGATAATGCAATTTAAGATTGCATTGCCTTTTTTAGCTGCCGCTGCACACTGCTGGCTCATATTTAGCTGGTTGTCCACTAAGACTCAAAGATCCCTCTCACAATCATTGCTATTAAGCCTAGTTTCCCCCAGTTTATATGTATGCTTTTGGTTTTTCTTGCCTAAGTGTAGGACTTTACTTTTCTCTACATTGAATTTCATTTTGTTAGATAGGGCCCAGTGTTCAAATCTGTCAAGATCCATCTGGATCTTGAGCCTATCTTCTAGGATGTTAGCTATTCCTGCCAGCTTGTGTGTGTATCCAGACGACACACTGTTTAATGGAAGATGGATTGTTTGTATTAAAATAAAATTTTTAAAAATTGGGGGGAGGGGGAAGAAACATGGGAAACACTGAAAAAATGTGATCATAAAAATCCAGTCCAACACAACACCACTAAAAAAGAAAAACAAGAAATCCAAGAAGAAACTAGCATGTTTGCACAAATATCTCTTTGATAAACTGAAAGACAAAAAGGATAAGTAAAAAAAATGGAAAGAGGGACACATAACTAAGGCACAATATCAGCAGATAGGCCAAATCTGCAAAGATGAAGTCAAGAAAACAAAGGCTCAGAATGAATGAATGAATGAATGAATGAATGAATGAATGAATGAATAAATAAATAATTTTATTTCTATACCGCCCTTCTCCCGAAGGACTCAGGGCGGTGTACAGCCAATTTAAAAACACAAGACACAACAATGATTAAAAATTAAAATAATTAAATAAATTTGGCCGGATTAAAACCCCCAAAATTTAAAATACCCCAATTAAAATTATTATGTTGATAGCCCGGCCTGGCGGAACAACAGGGTCTTCAATGCGCAACGAAACACCCGGAGGTCGGAGATTTTACGTATTTCCGGGGGCAGTTCATTCCACAGGGCTGGGGCTCCCACAGAGAAGGCCCTCCCCCTGGGTGTCGCCAGCCGACATAACTTGGCTGATGGCACCCTGAGGAGACCCTCTCTGTGGGAGCGGGCTGGTCGGTGGGAGGCTATTGGTGGCAGAAGACGGTCTCGAAGGTACCCGGGTCCTATGCCATGGAGCGCTTTAAAGGTGGTAACCAACACTTTGAATCGCACCCGGAAGACCACTGGGAGCCAGTGCAGCTCGCGCAGGAGGGGTGTCACGCGGGCACAACGGGTTGCGCCCATAACCACCCGCGCGGCCGCATTCTGGACCAGTTGGAGCCTCCGAGTGCTCTTCAAGGGGAGCCCCATGTAGAGAGCATTACAATAGTCCAGCCGGGAGGTGACAAGGGCATGAGTGACCGTGCGCAAGGCGTCCCGGTCCAGAAAGGGCTGCAACTGGCAGATCAGGTGAACCTGATAAAAGGCCCCCCTGGCCACGGCTGTCATGTGCTCTTCTAAAGACAGCCGTGCGTCCAGGAGGACACCCAGATTGCGAGCCCTCTCTGTGGGGGGCAAAGAACAAAGACTTGCAACAAAAGTCAACAACAATAAAAAAAAGTTTCTTTCAACATATAAATAACAAGAAAAAAATCAAGGAAACAAACAGTGCACTAAAGAGAGAAGATAGCAAGGAAGTAACAGGCAGTAGAGAGAAAGCAGAGCTGTTTAACTCATTCTTTGCATCAGTCTTCACACAAAAAGAAACTATAGCCCAACCTACCAAAAACATACCGTATTTTCCGGCGTATAAGACGACTTTTTAATACATGAAAATCTTCTCAAAAGTTGGGGGTTGTCTTATACGCCGGGTGTCGTTCTCCTGTAACCAGGCAGACCAGTCCGAAAGGCTCTGACGAGCCTTAAATGGCTCTGACGATCCAAGCCCTGACAATCTGCTAATCCGGCAACTCAGTTGGGATCGCCAGAGCCATGGAGAAGGAAAAATCTTTTCTCCTTTCACATGGCTCTGATCCAAGCCCTGACGATCTGCTAATCAGGCAACTCAGCTGGGATCGCCAGAGCCATGAGAAGGAAAAAACTTTTCTCCTTTCACATGGCTCTGACGATCCAAGCTCTGACGATCTGCTAAATCAGGCAACTCAGCTGGGATCGCCAGAGCCATGGAGAAGGAAAAAAGTTTTCCCCCTCCAGCTTGCTTGCCTTGCTTCGCTTGCCCTGCTTCGCTTGCCTGAATCCATTCCATCAGCAAGCAACTCCCTGCCTGCAATCAAGCAGGCAGGGAGTTGTGGACTTCAATTCCCAGAATTCCTCAGCCAGCAAAACAAAGCTGGCTGAGGAATTCTGGGAGTTGAAGTCTACAAGTCTTAAAGTTGCCAAGGTTGGAGACCCCTGTTCTATTGGGTAAGTTTTTTTCCCCTTTGGGACCTTTAAAAAAAATAGTTAATTGGGGTTTTTTTTTAGTTGTTCTTTTTTAGACCTAGCCATTTAAAGTTTAGGAAGTTTTAAATTTAGCTTTCATATAAAAATAAAAATAAAATAAAATAAAATAAAATAATATTTGTGCAGCTTTCTGAGATTTAGTATGTTTTTGTAGTGTTTCACTCTAACTACACAAACACACAAAATCTCACAAAGCTGTATGTGGAATTTTGTGTGTGTAAAGTGTGAAAGTTGGGTTTTGGGGCTCTTTGTGGCTGTGTGAGGTTCCTGCTTGTTTCAGGGGCCATTTTGGGTCTAGCACAGCTGCTTTTACATTGTGGGTGAGCCAGTTGTGTTGTGTTGTGTTGTGTGTGTGTGTGTAAAGTGTGAAAGTTGTTTTTTTTGGGCTTTTTGTGGCTGTGTGAGGTTCCTGCTTGTTGCAGGGGCCATTTTGGGTCTAGCACAGCTGCTTTTACATTGTGGGTGAGCCAGTTGATGTTTTTTAATTTTTATTTGGTGTGCATTGGAAGAGGGGTAGTCTTATACGGCGAGTATAGCCCAAACCCTATATTTTAACAGGAAAATTCGGGGGTTGTCTTATACGCCCAGTCGTCTTATACGCCGGAAAATACGGTAACTGTAAAAGACAGACTAGAAATAAAAATTAAAATATAACAAAATGATAAGACAACATCTGTCTGACCTTGATGAATATAAATCACCAGGATCTGATGGATTAAATCACAGAGTTCTGAAGGAACTGGCAGATGTTATCTCAGAACCACTGTATCATATCTTTAAAAAATCTTGGAGCACCAAGGAACTTCTAGAGGATTGGAAAAGAGCTGATGTGGTTCCCATTTTGAAAAAAGGAGGAGAAAAAAAGCAGGCTTAGGAAACTGCAGACCAATCAGTCTAACATCAATACCTGGGAAGATATTGGGAAAAATAATAAAAAAACATATCTGTGAATATCTAGAAACAAATAAAGTTATAACTAAAAGCCAGCATGGGCTTGTTAAAAACCAATCATGCCAAACCAATCTCATTTCATTCTTTGACAAAGTAGACCAGCGAAATGCTGTGGAAATAGTATATTTAGTATTCAGCAAGGCATTTGACAAAATAGACCACAACCTACACTTTGATAAACTAGAAAAATGTGGGGTAGACAGCATCACCACCAGATGGATTTGTAACTGGCTGACAAACCGAAATAAGTCTTCCTTATTTGTAACTATATCTACATGGCCCAGTACTCTTCATAAATGATTTAGATGAGGGAACAAAAGGGGAACTCATCAAATTTGCAGATGAGCATTCCAGAAGACAAGCTCAAGATCCAAAAAGAGCTTGACAAACTTGAACAATGAACAACAAAATGAAATTTAATGTGGAGAAAAGCAAGGTTTTACACCTGGGCAGGAATAACCAAAGGTACAAGTACAGATTAGGTGAAACCTGGCTCAAAAGCAGTAACTGTGAGAGGGACCTTGAAGTCCTAGTGGATGATCACTTAAATATGAGTCAGTAGTGTGCGGTGGCAGCCAAAAAAGCTAATACAATCCTGGGTTGTATAAACAGAGCTGTAGAATCAACTTCACACAAAGTATTAGTTTATAAACCCTAATAAGACCATACCTGGAATACTGCATCCAGTTTTGGTCACCACATTACAAAAAAGATGTTGAGACTTTGGAAAAAGTGCAAAGAAGAGCAACTAAGATGATTAAAGGCCTGGAGACTAAAACATATGAAGAACAGTTGCAGGATTTGCGTTTGGCTAGTCTAGAGAAAAGAAGGACTAGGGGGGACATGATAGCAGTATTCCAGTATTTGAGAGGCTGCCACAAAGAGGAGAGGGTCAATTTATTTTCCAAAGCACCAGAGGGCAGGACAAGAAACTAATCAAGGAGAGAAGAAACCTGGAATTAAGGAGAAACTTCCTAACAGTGAGCACAATTAACTAGTGGAAGAGCTTGCCATCAGATGTTGTGGGTGTTTTATCAGTGGAGGTTTTTAAGAAGAGATTGGACAGTCACTTGACATATACTCAAACCCTAATTTAAGGGACTAATGAGAACAGATACCTATCTGAAGTATTGGATCTCCTGCTTGAGAAGGGGGCTGGACTAGAAGACCTCCAAGGTCCCTTCCAGCTCTATTCTGATCCTGATTCTGAAATGAGTACACACTATACACTGCCTTCTGAGATAACATTTTACAAAATAAATATTTAAATATCTTACCCTAAATATACATTCATGCTCTGAACATTTTCTGGAAATAGTTTCCCATTCTCCTCTTTTATGATGGTGTCTTTTATATTGTTTAGCTGTAAAATAAAACAAAATAAACCTATGATTTTGCTATGAAAATATTATTTATATACTGTCCAAACATATACAGCATATTAAAATGTTAATAAAATATTAATAAAAACAACTTCCTCAGTCACAAAACACTAATCAACATCATTTCACATTTTTAGAAAAGCATTCAATATTTAACAAACTACAGAAACTACATAAGTTTGTTTTTTTGTAATTATTTATCACATATTTTTAAAAAAACACTTGCCTGTTTGCCAAAAAGTATGATGTGCTGCTAACCTGTAAATCTTAGTAATCTTTTTCAACTGTGGTAACAAACCACAGGTTAAGATATAGAAAGAGTTACTGAGAACTATCTATTTATCTGAATTTTACTCCATATTTAGTCACGTGAGTAGCTAGAAACAAACCTACTGTATTTGATCGTGCTTGCAGAATTGTTGCTATTGATAAATACATCAATTCATCTGCAGCACATATACAATTTGTATCCGGATAAATTGTTGAAATTAAATTGAGTCATGTGAGATTGTTTGCAATGAGCCCTTTTAAACCTGTAACTTATATTCTTTTTAACAAAGGTGGTAGATGATAAGTTAGGCACAAAATAGCATAGTGGTGTTGCAGATCGTATTTGGAAAGATAGCTAAAGAGCAGAGAAGATTTCACCTATAAGCATTAAGGATTTTGGCTACAAGCTCTGAGAGATCAAAGATGCTTCTGTTTCTTGAGTCCACAACTGAATAAAGTTCATTGCAATAAAAAGCAAAGTTGCAGGGATATGCAGTCTTACTAATACTCCTCATCTAAGTATATATGCAGAAGATTCTATGGTACTTTATTAATTATAATCTCTTTTTAATAATAGATTTATCATTTAAAAATAAACAGATTTAGGATCATACTTTGTATTAAGTTTGTGCACTGCTGGTGCAAACTTATATATATATACCATGTGATACATTTCAATAACTGTGGTAACTGGCAGCAAGTTGGGGAATAAGAGTTTAATGAAAATACCATGACTTTGATCAGGATTCAATCATATAGCAATCAAAACTGTTTTTTTAATTGTACCAAACTTAGTAAAATTACCAGTTTTAAACAATCAGCATTTTACAAAATATTGAAATACCTCTCCCATCAAATCATCACCAGTAATAACAGCTATCTTCAAGTCAACATTAGCATTTCTGGCAACTTGGTGAAGAGCAGCAGCACACCCAAGTGGATTCATTCCACCAGCATTACTGATAACACGAACACCTAAACAAGATTAAAGCTTCATGATAGTGGGCACATAGTTAAGACATATACCCAAACCGTAATTTAAGGGACTAATGAGAACAGATACCTGCTAAAACCAAATGCCCATTTCCTGTTAACAATGAATGTCCTTTCTGAAAAGACCTGATTCATCAGATAACTTCTTTGTGTTCAGTATATTTTTATCTATAACGTGCAGTCTATTAAATTAGATCTATTAAATCAAACGTTTACTATCATTTGATTTCTCATTAAGTTGCTCAGACTGTTACTGTATATTGGGCTGAAATCAAAATTTTTTTGCTACTGGTTCTGTGAGCGTGGCTTGGTGTGGCGTGGCTTGGTGGTCATGTGACTGGGTGGGCGTGGCCAGTTTGACATCATTCACGTAACTCTGCTGTGCATGGGGCGCTTGGAGAGAGAGCAAGTAAGACAGCTTTCCAATCTCTCTTTTTTGTGTGTGTGTGTGTGAGGGAGGGAGAGAGGGAGCGATCTGAAGTCGAGGCACCCAAACTTCTGGCAGCGGCAGAGCAGCTTCTGAGCAGCCAGCTCCACCTGACCTACTCCCTGAGTCTCACCATTCTCCTGCCCCCCCCCACCAGCTCAAGCAGCGACTTCCCTGCTCAGCCCCAACAAGGTATGCATCCATGGTGCCCGCACCAGCATCCCGAGAGAAGCAGAGATGATCATCACTTGCAAGCAGACAAGCAGAGGTAGCAAGTGTACGCCGTGCTGTGGGAAAAATGAGAGGTCCTGTTGTCCCACAGAGCCTGCTGCTGCTTGAGCTGGGGGAGGAGGGCAGGAGAACGGCGAGACTCAGGGAGTAGGTCAGGTGGAGCTGGCTGCTCAGAAGCTGCCCCGCCGCTGCCAGAAGTTTCGGTGTCTCGGCTTCAGATCACTCCCTCCCTCACACACACACACACACACACACACACACACAGAGAGAGGTTGGAGAGCTCTCTTGCTCGCTCGCTCTCCAAGCACCCCATGCACAGCCCATTTGAGGAAAGGGCACGGACGGCTGGGCGCGTTTGGCTGCAGAAGGAGGCGCAGCGCAATGGGGTTGTTTTGTTCACCGAGGTGGTACTTCAGGAGGTCAGGCGGATGTCTGCAGCTGACAACTATAATGAATATGTCCACCTGCCCTCCCGAAGCACTACTGCGGCGAACAAAACAACCCCATTGCTATGGATGCATAGCTTGTCGGGGCTGAGCAGGGAAGCCACTGCTTGGGGGGGGGGCAGTAAGCTGCTAGCTCCTTCCCCGCAGCCCTGCCATGCTTGCCCGCCTTCACAAGCTGGCCACCGGGACACCAGGAAGGCAGCATGGAAGGCAGGCAAGCATGGCAGGACCGTGGACCGTGGATCGGTTTGAGGGCGTGGCCAGCCAGCCATTGTTCCCGGTTCAGCGAACTAGCCTCAATCTCCGCTACCTACTCGCCCGAGCCAGTCCGAACCGGGAACATTTCACCCCTGCTGTATATGTGTTATTACCTACCAAATTACTATAAATTATTTTAACCGCTTATTTTATTTACACTTTTAAAAGTCACATATATCTCATGATTGCCGTCAGATTTTTTGTTTGAAAGAGAATTTTAGAAATAATTGTAAGGACTGAGAGCTTTTGTCATGCTGTCATCTTCTTTCCATCAGAAACTGCATTTGACACAAAGATCCCAACTTACATAAAGTTAGATTTCCTTTCTTGTAATTGAACTGGAAAATTCTGAATTAGCAAGACAGAAAATAGATTAGGCTGCTTTATGAAAAAATAAGATAGCAACCAGGCACATCATGGAATGCAAAATATTCCATATCTGATCTCTGGAGGGTTCGGGACAGGGGTTGCTCCTCTATCCTGGTCCTATTAGATCTCTCAGCGGCTTTTGATACCATCGACCATGGTATCATGCTGCGACGATTGGAGGGGTTGGGGGGGGCACCGTGTTGTGGTGGTTCTCCTCCTTCCTCTCCGACCGTGTGCAGTTTGTGTTGGCAGGGGGGCAGAGATCGACCTCGAGGCGCCTTGTATGTGGGGTGCTGCAAGGGTTAGTCCTCTCGCCCCTTCTGTTCAACATTTATGTGAAGCCGCTGATGATACTCAGCTGTACATCTCCACCCCGGACCACCCCAATGATGCCCTTGACATGATGTCCCAGTGCCTGGAGGCCGTGCGGAGCTGGATGGGCAGAAACAAGCTCAAACTCAACCCCTCCAAGACTGAGTGGCTGTGGCTTCCGGTGTCCCGATATAGTCAGCTGGTTCCATCGCTGACCATTGGGGGCGAGATCCTGGCCCCCTCAGAGAGGGCTCACCTCTTGGGTGTTCTCCTGGATGCACGGCTGTCTTTGGAAGATCACATGATGGCCGTGGCCAGGGGAGCTTTCTATCGGGTTCGCCTGATGCACCAGTTGCGTCCCTTTCTGGACCGGGATGCCCTGCGCACGGTCACTCATGCCCTCATCCCGTCCCGTCTGGACTACTGCAACGCTCTCTACATGGGGACTCCTACATGGGGACTCAGAGGCTCCAACTGGTCCAGAATGCGGCCGCGCGGGTGGTTATGGGTGCGACTCGGCGCACCCACGTAACACCCCTCCTGCGCAAGCTGCACTGGCTCCCAGTGGTCTTCTGGGTGCGATTCAAGGTGTTGGTTATCACCTTTAAAGCACTCCATGGCTTAGGACCGGGGTATATATGAGACCGCCTTCTGCCATCAACAACCTCCCACCGGCCAATATGCTCCCAGAGAGAGGGGCTCCTCAGGGTGCCATCGGCCAAACAATGCCAACTGGCAACACCCAGGGGGAGAGCCTTCTCTGTGGGGGCACCAGCCCTCTGGAATGAGCTGCCCCTAGAGCTTCATCTTAGCCCCGACCTGCGTACTTTTCGCCGCGCCCTTAAGACACGTTTGTTCCAGCAAGCCGGACTGGCCTCATACAAATTTTATAATGGGTGTATGTGTGTTTTAATTTGCGGGCCAAATTTTATATATTCGATTTTAATTGTTTTTAAATTTTATAAATCTATGTGTTTTAATATGGCTGTACACTGCCCTGAGTCCTTCGGGAGAAGGGCGGTATAAAAATCTAATAAACTTCAAACTTCAAACTTCCATATACATATCCTGTGCATGGTACAATCAGATTTGAGAAGTATGAGTCTGAGATATGTGTGTTTCAGTCAGACATGGTTACACAAAAGATATTCCAAAAGAAAGTGTTTAGCTTGGAGTGGGAAAAATAATCAATGATGACATCAGGAGGAAGTGGGGCAATGGAAGTATAGAGTAAAGAAGTGGCTTAGATATGCCATCTATCAGTGACGTGGTAACAGGAATGTATGAAAAAGAAGCTGTTAGAAAAATGAGATGGCGGATCAGCAGCTTGGACATGCCATGCTTGAGTAGCAAGTAGGAGGTAAGAAAAATAAATTGCTGCAAAGATGGAGGGGTTGCTTGACAATGAACCAAGACTCCAAATAATTAAATGTAATATTTCAGAACTGTAAATTGGAAGAAAATAATTGTGACTTCTTAATTAATATAAACATTAACTATAATAAACATCAATATGAAAATTATGACTTCTGCTTAAAATACAAATATATGCCCAACATACCTTTCCTGTGTATGTCCTTTATATAAGGAGCCATTGCAATTGATACAAAATCAGGAATGTATCCCAAATCCTAAAAAAAAAAAAAAAAAAAAAAAACACCACCACCCAAATAAACCAAAGCATTTTACCAGATAATATATTATTTTATGTTGTTCATTACAGTGCCATAAAACCCTCCTCAGTTGAAACAACCATAAAGTTCCCATTTTTTCCCAAAACAAAATCCAATTTTAAAAAAGAAAAGCCGTACTATATTTCATACAAGATTGTTCTTCAATTGACAGCTGAAATTAAACCTTAACAATACCAATGTCCTGCAGATTTTATAAAATCACACTATAAATAAGACATCTGCCAGCAAAACAAATTCACCTTCTTTACAAGCAGTCCATCTCAAACATCCTTGGTTGAGGGACTTTATAGGGCATGTATAAGAAAGCAGAATGGAATAAGAGAATTGCTTATTTTGCAAACTTAAGTCCATTCCTGCACCTGCATAATATAGCAAAATCCATTTTTCAAAGGCAGAAAATCCAATAGAATTAAATTGTTATGTATTGATTTTTACAGACATATGCATATCTGAAGCCATTTAAAAATCAATATTCTTGATTGATAACTCTCATTCTAAAGTATCAATGCAATCTTTCCAAATTATCTAGGGGAGTACTTTCTAAAGCCATTTCCCCTTTAGTGACCTACTGCTTCTTACAATGTTACCCATCATTGCTATGACAAATAAAAAGCCTGGATTTATTACTACTATTGTAAGAACTGGATGACTCTAATAAGTGCTGCAAGTCATTGGTAGGGAAACAGCTGAAATTAAACTAGGAAGATATACCAGATCATCAGCAAAGATCTTGTTCTATTTCTAGATATTTCCTTTTTGCAATGAAAACTACAATTCAGCTGCAAAAAATTCATTCCCAAACTCTAATCTTTTTATGGCTGGCACTTCTGACTAAAAACCAAAGGCTTTTGGTAGATAATTGTTTTTGAACAGTGAAATTAATTGAAGTTGAAGATCTGGTTTCTGACATATTTTCTGTAATAAAAATATTTCAGAATAATTCTTTTGAAATTATTTAAGTGGCTCTGGTTGTGTTAGAGTTCAGTCTTACTTTTCTTTCTTAAGCAAATTTTCTACTTGGCATAGATATTTGCATTTTATCTCTATAAGAAATATTTCTGAATTGTTCAGCTTTAGAAAAAAATTAAGCAAACGCTGTTCTTAAGAAATGAAAGAACTAAAATGCTATTAATACAAACCATAATGCAATTAGAGCTGCAGAGAAAGTGCATCTTAGATTGAAATAATTAAGTTACAGGAACACTGTTCAGATAAGTGAGCTATTTCTTTCAAATTTTACTGTTCTAGCATTTCAAAAATTCTAAACAAAGTAGATCAGTTAAAAGTTATGTTATGCAAATCTTACAGCTTTAACAGTTCATAGGTATAGAATGGATTCTTTTCTAGGTTTTATTTTCCAAAAATTGCAAAAATATACTTACTGGAGATTTGGCTTTGGCTCTAGCTAGTAAAGACATTGTAATTTCAGAAAGGTAATCAAAAACCAGGAAATCCAGCTTTCCCCCGTAGAGCATCTGAGGAACTAATAAAAGAAAATCAAGAGAAAAAGATTACAAATAGAAACAATTCAAGATGTGACCTTTCATTAAGCAAACAAGGGCCTGGTAGCTCAGCAGACTGATAGCATTGTGATTAACACCAGCTGTCTGCAATTACTATAAGTTCGAATCTCACCAGGCTCAAGGTTGACTCAGACTTCCATCCTTTCTAAGGTAGGTAAATTGAGGACCCAGTTTGTAGGGGCAATAAGCTGACTTTGTATAAATATACAAAAGTATGAAGGCTATTGCTTAACGCATTGTAAGCCGCCCTGAGTCTCCGGAGAAGGGCAGCATATAAATCAAATTAAAACAAAAACAAAAACAAAAAAAACCATATTAACACTGTGTTGAAAACTGACTTTAATATGGACAAAGATCTAGACGTTACTCTTACACAACATGATGAAAAAGAATTACTACAATCCTTAATAAATTGAATTCACAATAAATTTCAAAAGTTGTTCATCTCTGTGTTATATAGAATTATAAAAATGTAATTCAAGAAACAAGATAAATGTGCATATACCCCTTCCCATATGAGAGGATTAATTTTTAAAACTCAATGCCAAATCTCATTGAATTTATGTAGTGATAACACATCCATGAAGTTTTTCATTAAGATACAGGTTACTAGTTTTCTCTCAAATTTACTTGGCCTTGCAAATATTATTAGTAAACCAGATGGAATTTCACCTTATCTATGAAATGTGTTTTTAGCTCCAATCCACTTCTTTGGGTAAAAGCCCCACTGCTTAGTCATGTTTTTCAAACTTGGCAACTTTAAGATGTTTGGACTTCAACTCCCAGAATTCCCTCTGATAGTTGAAGTCCACACATCTTAAAAGTTGCCAAGTATCTTGCCTATGAAAATATATACTGCTCAAACAACTAAAGGGAACACAAAACCACTGTATGTAACGAACAAAGTATTTAATAAGGCTATTTCATTCATTCAGATCTCAGATGTCTTCTGCTTGTGTCCCCTTTATTTTTTTGAGCAGTGTATTTTCAGTTAGATTTTGTCTATGCTAACCTGAGAAATTACTCTTATGAACTTTGCCTTCATTCTTATGATTATAAAACTATATTGTGCATGTCATTTGACTTCGTTTACTGTACATCCCCTTCCAATATAACTGCCCTCTCCTGTTCTGTTACCTAAATTCACCAGAATGTTGTGTAATGGGGATAAAGAAGGAACTCTCAGACTTGCTTCTTCACGGTGTCCCTGGGTTCAAATTTTTTTACACTCTGAAGATCATCTTGTTAAATGTGAACATTCACTCTGTCAGGGGCTTAAGAATTATACAGTATAAGGCAAATGATTAATCTTTCAACAACTCTTCCAAAATGCTCCAAAAAATGAAAGCGGTCAGGTACTCGTTTATTTTCAGCTCATGCATGTGAAAAAAAGTTTGAAAGTTCCGGGCTATGGGAAGAGATGTGTTTTGACTTCTCCAGTTCAAGACTCCAATTCTCCAAGACTCGGGTGCGAGTCATTTTAAGAGCGCCATAATGAAGGAAATGGAAGTTTTGGAAGAGGGGACCTGTTGGAAGGCCCGTGGTGGAAATGCGTGATGTACAGAATACAGACGAGCTTATTTGTAGCACCGCCTGTATATGGCACAAATTCAGACGGCTATAAGTTAGAAGGCAAGTCGTCGAGAGGACGTAAGCGAAAGGTTTTACGACGCATGCGTGTAGCGTGTATTCGAAAGTCAGTTCATTTGGCGAGTTCTCTTCCCTTCATAGGAAGTTTTCTGTCCCCGGTTTTTCGAATCAGATTTAGTTTGCGGAGATCTCGCCATGTAAGCGGCCCTAGCAGCTGCCTGTCGACGGCCGTAAAGAAAAGGGCCTGCGCTTTGCGGCCGAGCCTGCCCCTAGTGCGGCTTCCCCGTAATACCTGCGGCCGCCGTGTCTCCCCAGAAGCCTGAGGCGCAGCCGATCCGCACCAAGCGCGGCTGAGGAGTGCTTGGTTCGCTGCTGCAACATCGGCTGCAGCTATAGCTGTTCCCTGTCCACAGTCTGGAGACGGCGGTGGCCCGAAACCTCAAGAACGCGCGGCGGTGCATGGTGTCTCCTCAATAGGCGCGGCCTGGGCGGGCTTTTCCGCGGGAAGTTTTGTGGAAAAGAGCCGCTTGTGGCCGCTGTCAGTCACAACACAAATTCTCTCCTGACCCTTTTGCTACTGGATGATTACTGCTTTTCTGCGCAGAACTTCGGAAATTGCCCCTACTTGTCTTGATAGACGAGACGTTGAAATCAGATACTGCAAGTGTTGCCTAGAAACCCAGGCACCGAGTTTGCGTGGAGCCGGAAGAATCATATTCCCTGAATTTGGGAGAGAAAATGTTAACTTGGAGGGGTCGTTGGTGCTTTCTGAGCTTAGTTGTTTTCTTGTAGACGTTTAATTACCAGACTAGGTTAATATCAGTGCACCAATGACCTCTCATTTCAACCCTGAGCTACAAATATTCTTTATTGATAACATTAACCTTTGAAAATAGCTTTTTCTGACCCCCCACGTTAAAGGGGCTTGTATTTTGTGGGAAGCCCCCATCCCTCCTTGAAGAATGAAATATTTTGAGGAATATTTAAAAAGGCAGAATATTATATTTCCCTAAATGAGAAATGGAGAAACATGTTTTTTTAGAGGCAGGAAGCAGACTCACTCTTTCTTAATAGACCCTCCCCCCCCCAGCAGATATTTTGTGCCCATTAAGAAAAGATTGGGCCAGCCTATCTACAAAACAAAAGACTTTCCGCTCCAGGATGATGGGATTAAGAAGAATAGGATATGATCCTTTAGGACATAATAGCAATAGCACTTAGATTTATATACCGCTTCACGGTGCTTTACAGCCCTCTCTAAGTGATTTAGAGTCAGCATGTTGCCCCCAACAAACCGGGTCCTCATTTTACTGATCTCAGAAGGATGGAAGGCTGAGTCAATCTTGAGCCTGGTGAGCTTTGAACTGCCCCACTACCATTTAGCAGAAGACACAGAGCTCATTATGTTGCACAATCTCCTATGGGTATTTCAGACATTGCACCATCCCCAGAGCAGTCCAAACTCGGGCAAATGCCTAGGACAGGGGTGTCAAACTCTATTTCATTGAGGGTCACATCAGGGTTGTGTTTGACCTCAGAGGTCCAGGAGTGGGGCATGGCATGGGGCTTGGGGTACCTGTGGCCAAGTGCAAAGGCAGGATTTCCCCAAGACCCTCCCTCTCTCATTATACAGGAAATCCTCCAGTTACAAATGCAATAGAGCCTGTCAATTACATTTGTAACCCAAGGATTTTTTTGATTGAATCACACTAAATGAATCTGATCACTCCCTGCTTTCCCCAGTGCATTTGTTAATCAAATGCGCAGGTCATTAAATGCACATGAGGTATCTCAGAGTGGGGAAGAGCATGTGGGACTTAGTGCTGCAGCAGGCAACCCAAGGCCTCCCCCACTCTACTGAGATACCTCATGCTCCCTGGGGTCCCCACAATCCCCCCCCATCCTGTCCCACTGGGTCCCCACAGACTGGACCTGCTTTGCTAGCTTCCCAGATTCCGCTTACTACTACCCACCCCATTTCCTATGGATTACTTACTTTTTGAAGACCTACTGGCAGAGAAGCCAAAGTGTTTTATTCAGATGACAGCAAAGCTATAGGAATGTGAAATCTAGGACTTCCGGCGGTGACGTCAACGTGGCTGGAACAAAGAGAACGGGGCTCCGTTCTTAGAGTTCCAAAATCCCTGATTTGGAAGCCGTTTTAGGCGCTATTGATCACGTAGAGATCAATAGAAAAAGGGGATTCTTCAAGGACCTCGGGGAGCAAAGCAATCCCCCCAAAGGTTCAGGAGAACCCCTTAATTCCAGTCAGGGAAAAACCAGCCATTTTGGCTGGCCTGAAACGCTGATAAACCGAAGAGTGGGAAGCGAAGATTTGAAGTAAAGAGAGCACATCGGTAAAAGATTGAACGAGAGAACAAAGCTTTGAAAAAGGTACAGCTACATGGAGAGGAAAACAAAAGTGAGCGGAGAAAGTGAGACTCTAAATTAGCGGCGAATGACAGCCAGGTGAGTGGCGAGGAAGCGGAGAGAAGAGCAGAAATCCATTTTGAATTGACAGTGACAGTGCAAAATAGAAGAACAGTGGAACGGAGAAACTCCAGAGGATTTATTGAGAAAAGGACTGCAGAAGGTAAAAATTTACAAACCAAGCAGAGCGGACCTGGACCTTAAACAGACTTAAAAACTCTATAATTTCAATTAAATCCTTACCAATAAAGAAAGAAGAATATCAGAGAGAGGAAACGGCAGACCAATCCCTAGCAAAGACGGAGCAGTGAATATATACAGAAAACTAAAAAAGACAGTTTGGTGAATTAAAGAACCGGAAAAGTCGAACGGATTATAAATTGATAGATACTTTGAATTTTGAAAAACTAACACAATTAGCTGCAGAGACTTTGGAAACAAACTAACAGAGACAACAAAGCAGATGATGCAAGAGTGAAAGGAAGCTGCAGGACAGAAAGACAATGAACATTAATTGACCTAATATAAAACATAAGGACTTTTCAGAAAAACTTTGAGATATAAGCTTTGATTGTGGTAAATATAAATAATTAAATTAGTATCATATTTAAGTGCATATAGACTTAGATATTGAGAGATTGATATATTATTGATTATACTTATTAAACTTTCTTACATAGTTAACTATTGATTATTGATTCCAAGTACTGATATTGCTTAAAAAGTAGAATTTCATATTAATTATACCTATTATCTTAATCCCTTTTTCTTTTTCCTTTAGAGTGATTATATAGATTTATATATTGACATATCGATAGATTGAAATAGTTCTGATTATATTTAATATATTTATTTATATACCCAATTAGTGACTTTGTATACTGATATTGTCTAGAAGTTACAATTTCAGATTAACCCTATTTAATATTATAGTGTGTTTAGAGTGATTATATATACTTTATTACCTATAACATATATTGACATCCATTGGTTTAATATTCTATATATAAATACTAACCAGGGGTGAAATCTAAAAATTTTTGCTACCGGTTCTGTGGGTGTGGTTTAATTAGTGGGCGGGGCTTGGTGGTAAGGTGACTAAGAGGACGTGGCTTGTTGGTCAGATGGGCATGGCCAAATCAATGTCACTTCTTTGCCCTTTTTAAACCTACAAAACACAATACAACACAACTGGCTCACCCACAATATAAAAGCAGCTGTGCTAGACCCAAAATGGCCCCTGCAACAAGCAGGAACCTCACACAGCCACAAAAAGCCCAAAAAACCAACTTTCACACTTTACACACACAAAATTCCACATACAGCTTTGTGAGATTTTGTGTGATTGTGTAGTTAGAGTGAAACACTACAGAAACACACTAAATCTCAGAAAGCTGCACAAATATTATTTTATTTTATTTTATTTTTATTTTTATATAAAAGCAGCTAAATTTAAAACTTCCTAAATTTTAAATGGCTTGGTCTAAAAAAAGAACAACTAAAAAAAACCCCAATTAACTATTTTTTTTAAAGCTCCCAAAGGGGGAAAAAAACTTACCCAATTGAACAGGGGTCTCCAACCTTGACAACTTTAAGACTTGTAGACTTCAACTCCCAGAATTCCTCAGCCAGCTTTGCTTTGCTGGCTGAGGAATTCTGGGAGTTGAAGTCCACAACTCCCTGCCTGATTGATTGCAGGCAGGGAGATTCAGTTGCTTGCTGATGCAATCGATTGCAGGGATTACAGCAAGGCATTGCAACCAGTAAGCAGTAAAGTAAGGAAGCTGAGGGGGGGGAAGGGGAGGGATTTTTGCTACCGATTAGCAGGCAGAGCCATTTAAAAGGAAAAAAGTTTTTTTCTTTTACATGGCTCTGGCGATCCAAGCTGAGTTGCCTGATTAGCAGGCAACTCAGCTGGGATCGTCAGAGCTTGGCTGGTCAGAGCCATTTAAAAGAAAAAAAAGGCTCTGATGATTGCGTGGCTCAGCTGGGCATGGGGGGTGGGGGCAGGGATTTTTCTACCAGTTCTCCGAACTGCCCGCCGCCATCGCTACCTACTTGCCCGAGCCGGTCCGAACCGGGAGCATTTCACCCCTGGTACTAACTCAGTAATACATTTAACAAAAATAAGAACAGATTAATGAATTGCTGAAATACCAGATTTTTCCCTCTCCTCCCTAACTGATCTTACTACCCCTTATATAACAATATTGAAAAGTGGAATTTAAGAACTGTATAGAAGCCTGAACAACTGAAACCATTTGATACTCTACACAGCAATTTATAACCTAACCTATACATATCAAATAAGTTAAAAATCAATACAGAAGTAGAAATACATCGATCTTATAAGATAGATAAGTGTATGAGAATTTGGGAAAGTGTGAAACAGAAAATAAAGATGACAACAGGCCCAACAGCAATAATCAAGATAAGCAAAAAGGTAATCTCAAATCAGGCATCACTCATAGCATCACCTGCACAACAAAAAACAATTGATACAATGCTAACCACAGAAAAAGAAAAGGCCCCCTCCACATTTAACATACAAAATATCCAATCAGTTCTAGCCATGGTCCAAGAAGGGATGAATAAAACACAAGAGTCCATAGCAAATAATCATGAAGACACTAGAAGGAACCACGAAGAATTGAAAACAGATGTAGGAGAAATAAAAGATAATATTAAAAAAATGGACGAAGATTGAGAAAATACAACAGAATATCATGAGAAATGAACAACGGATTCAGAACATGGAGGTGAAAATGGATCAAACAGATAAGAAAATGGATAGTATGGAGCAAAATCAAGCAATATTAAATAAAGAACTAGAGGACTCAATCACATACTTAGAGATGGAAAAAGCATCTTTCTATCTCAGATTCCAAAATATAGCCGAAAATAAAGAGGACTTAGGAGAACTGATGGCGGGAATCCTAGCGGAAGCTACCCAGAAAGAGAAAGAAGAGATTAGAAGAGAAATGGACGAGATTTACCAGGTCCATACAAACTACACCCGCAGGCATAAGTTACCCAAGGAGGTCCACATCAGATTTGCAAGAAAAACCGTGAAGGAAGAGATCTATAAAATAATGAGGGAAGAATCAATTATGTATAAGGGGAAAGCAATAATAACGTTAAAACAGATCCCAAGAAGGATAAGAGAACAGAGGAAAAATTATAATTTTTTAACAATACAATTAAATAAGTACAAAATAATGTTTCGCTGGTTGATGCCAGAAGGGATTCTGATCTCCTGGCAAGATAAGAAACATAAAATTGATATGTGAGAAAGCA